CATAAGTAACCGAATCAAATGGCCGGTCAGAATAAAAGTGTGTCATGTAAACACTCCGTTCGGGTTATTTTTTGTGCATTCGGCGCGATCCGATATAATTTGTGATCAGAACGAAATGGGTGGTTTACGCCGATCCGAAACCCGATCGGTGCGCATGTAAACGCTTGATCTGTTCGTTTTTATCTGATGGTGAAAAACTGACCTGACTGCGCATGTGCGACTTTGCCATTTCCGCCTGGCTAACGCTAATAATATTAGCATGTCAGGGAAGTAAAACTGGTCGGTGAGCGACAACATTTCTACTAGAAACTTTTAAAGAGCTCAAAATGATTTCTATCACCTGTAGCTCAGTCAGGGAGTGCAATAACGTCTCCAACATCATTAAAACCCGTCGCGGGTCCATTTTGGGTGCTCAAGTTTGTTTACATTCACCCGGAAGTAGAACTACTTCTTTGGTGGTTTTTTTAAGGAGAGTTTACCTCTCTGCGCATGTCAGTACTGCTGTTCAGAACAAAGCCCGCTGCATGTAAACGCTCATCATGAACAGATTGTGCCCATGTAAACAATACATTTGAATTATTCAAACAAAACATATTTCAATCCTGTCAAAGAATTTTGCGCATGTAAACATAGCTATTGAACCCCTCATAGCCTCTGATGTGTGTCCCAGTGTATGAATGTGATAAAGCTCTGATTAGTCTCATTAAAATGATTTGTTCAATTAGCTTTGAAGAGATCTAGTATAGAGCTGTATGAATGGGTAAATGAGGCACAGATTGTAGTGTAAAGATCTTTGAGTATCTTGAAATAAGATAGAAAGGCGCTATATAAGTACAGTCCATTTACCATTTGTTGAAATCAGATCTCTCTTGTAAATGAGTCCTCGAGGCTCAGTGGGATTAACCTGTCTAAATAAAGGTTGAATGAAAAAAATTCAAAATATATAAATACAACAGTAAACAGACTTCAGCTTACCATAGTATATTAACCTTTAACTCAAAATAAAATACAGACTTCACAGTTTTTTAACCATATTGATTCATATTTTGTAAATCTTTAACAAAATTTCAAAACCTGTGCAAACCTGCACAAAAAAATCTTCTGAACTGTAATAATTTAAAAAAAAAAAAATTGTATCATTTAGAACTGGCTCCAGGCGATGTGTCTCTTCTGTCCTCTTCAGCCTGTTAAAAAGACAAATTACATTAAGTTTCTTGTACAACTTGTCTACAAGTTTTAGTATATTATGAGAAAAAACAGTTACCTTTGAGCTGCAGCTGCATCAGAGCTTCTCCCATTCGTTGTTTCATGGTCAAGTTGCGGTGCTGCTTTATTGCAAAAAAACAAACAAAAAAATGCTATGTGAAGGAATAACGTACGTTGGATCCATCGTATTAAAAATAAACCTGAACTCCTCACCTTCCACTGAGAAGTCTGATCGTAAATCCTTTGTGATACAGCAGGAGATGGAGAGGGAACTCTTCACAGCCTTTGCGAGAAAGGAAGTTTGTTGCAGAGTTCGCTGGTCGGCTGATTCGCTTTCATCTTCCGCAAATTTTGTCATATTTCCAAAATACTGTACCATAATCTTATTTTACACTTCTTGCAAACAACCAGGCTCTTGTTAAGCTCTGTGTTCACCTGGAACATTGTAGGATATTTCTTACCTTGATAGCTGTGGATATATTCTTCATGGAAGAACTTTTATCCTTACTCAAGTTTACTGGTTTATGAATTCACCGTTGTGATTTCCTCCACATCCGCAAAAGAAAAGGCCGGCACTTCCAAAGACTCGCAATAACAGGAAGTGATCCAGCACCAGGAGACGCTACTTCCGGTTGTCGTGAAAAAGATCTATTGTAACTTTAAAACTTATCCAACATTAATAAAACTTACCTCAAGTTGCCTTTTTGGACATGCATGCATATATTTGTACAAATTGTACAAACCGGATTCCAAAAAAGTTGGGACACTAAACAAATTGTGAATAAAAACTGAATGCAATGATGTGGAGATGGCAAATGTCAATATTTTATTCATAATATGACACAGATGACAGATCAAAAGTTTAATCTGAGTAAATGTAACATTTTAAAGGAAAAATATGTTGATTCAAAATTTCACAGTGTCAACAAATCCCAAAAAAGTTCGGACAAGTAGCAACAAGTGGCTGGAAAAAAGAAATTGAGCATATAACGAACAGCTGGAAGACCAATTAACACTAATTGGGTCAATTGACAACATGATTGGGTATAAAAAGAGCTTCTCAGAGTGTCAGTGTCTCTCAGAAGCCAAGATGGTAAGAGGATCACCAATTCCACCACTGTTGCGCAGAAAGATAGTGCAGCAATACCAGAATGGTGTTACCCAGCATAAAATAGCAAAGACTTTTAAGTTATCATCATCAACCGTGCATAACATCGTCAAAAGATTCAGAGAATCTGGAACAATCGCTGTGCGTAAGGGTCAAGGCCGTAAAACTACTGGATGCTCGTGATCTCCGGGCCCTTAAACGTCACTGCACCTCAAACACAAATGCCTCTGTCAAGGAAATAACAGAATGGGCTCAGGAATACTTCCAGAAAGCATTGTCAGTGAACACAATCCACGTGCCATCCGCCGTTGCCAGCTGAAACTCTACAGTGCAAAGAGGAAGCCATTTCTAAGCAAGCTCAACAAGCTCAGACGTTTGCACTGGGCCAGGGGTCATTTAAAATGGAGTGTGGCAAAATGGAAGACTGTTCTGTGATCAGATGAGTCACGATTTGAAGTTCTTTATGGAACACTGGGATGCCATGTCATCCGGACCAGAGAGGACAAGGATAACCCAAGTTGTTATCAACGCTCCGTTCAGAAGCCTGCATCACTGATGGTATGGGGTTGCATTAGCGCTTGTGGCATGGGCAGCTTGCATGTCTGGAAAGGCACCATTAATGCAGAGAACTATGTTCAGGTTCTAGAACAACATATGCTCCCATCTAGACGTCATCTCTTTCAGGGAAGACCCTGCATTTTTCAACACGATAATGCCAGACCACATTCTGCAGCAATCACAACATCATGGCTACGTAGGAGAAGGATCTGGGTACTGAAATGTCCAGCCTGCAGTCCAGATCTTTCACCTATAGAGAACATTTGGCGCATCATAAAGAGGAAGGTGCGACAAAGAAGGCCCAAGACGATTGAACAGTTAGAGGCCTGTATTAGACATGAATGGGAGAGCATTCCTATTTCTAAACTTGAGAAACTGGTCGTTGAGTGTTGTAAGAAGAAGGGGGGATGCCACACAGTGGTAAAAATGGACTTGTCCCAACTTTTTTGGGATTTGTTGACGCCAAGAAATTTGGAAACAACAGATTTTTCCCTAAAAATGATAAATTCTCTCAGTTTAAACTTTTGATCTGTGATTTGAGTTCTATTCAGAATAAAATATTAGATGTTGGCACCTCCACATCATTGCATTCAGTTTTTATTCACAATTTGTTTAGTGTCCCAACTTTTTTGGAATCCGGTTTGTACTTGAGGAGATTATTACAGCCTCATAAAAAATCAATAATGATCATGATATCGGAACTGGATCGATATCGGCCGATATCCAGATTTAGGTATCGGGATCGGAAGTTAAAAAAATGTGGATTGGTGCATCTCTAGTTTATATATATTAATATAATATTCATCTGTACAATAAGTAAGCTGTAATGCAAAGCTCGCTGTTAACCTACGTTTACTCTACGTTCCTATCCTCACCTATGATCATGAACTCTGGGTAGTGACCAAAAGAATGAGACTGCAGATACAGGCGGATGAAATGAGGTTCCTCTGCAGGGTAGCTGGACTCTCCCTCAGAGATAAGGTGAGAAGTTCAGTTACCAGGAGAGACTCGGAGTAGAACTGCTGCTCCTCCACATCCAGAGGAGCCAGTTGACGTGGTTCAGGCATTTGATAAGGATGCTTCCTGGGTGCCTCCCAAGGGAGGTGCTTCGGGCATGTCCGACTGGGAGAAGAACCTGGGGAAGACCCAGGCCAACTGATAGACTATGTCTACGTTTCTCAGATGGCCTGGGAACGCCTTGGAGTCCTTCCAGAAGAGCTGGAAGAGGTGGCTGTGAAAAGATATGTCTGGACCTCCCTGTTCAAGCTGCTGCCCCCGAGACCCGAATTTGAAATAAGTGGAAGATAATGGATGGATGGATATTCATCTTTACCCAAGCTTAAAAAAAAAAAAAAAAAAAAAATTCAAGATCTGACAATTATCTTTTATCAAGTCTGAAATTAAGCTAGTTGCTGAGAACAGGTACAGATCCACATTCCTTCATATTTTTTATTTCAAAGTTTCAATAATAAGAGAATTTTGTATCTTTTGTCATTTTTTGTCTTTTTGCAGGACTTTTAAGATGGTGAGGAAGTGCTGATAAAAAAATGTTAAGGCTTAGAAGATTTGTAGTAATTCCAATTGATGAAACTTTAAACTCGACTTTCTCAGTGTCTTTTTGTGCATTGAACTATTTACCAATAGTAATGTTTTATAACAAAGAGTGCGTTTACAAATAGAAATCTTACAAATAGGTCTTTGAATATTGCTTAAACACGGCACACCCACTAGAACCCTCAAACCACAGACCCACCGTGCCTCAGCCACAATAAATTCCAGTTTAACCCTAAAGCAGGCAAATCAAAAGTTCTCGCACATGAACACCAGGCATGAGCATAAAATATGAGTCAACTTGTTCCATTTTGATTGATAAATCCACTTGAAAGGTAAACAACAATTTTCAGTATTTAAATGTTAAATGAAATAACTTCAACATAATAACTTAAGCTTAAGGTTATACAAGCCAGGAAAAAAAAAAACAGTTTGAACATGTCAAATGTCACTGAATGTTCCACTTTTGGTGGTTTGTCCATTTTTGTCTGTAATAATTTCAACACTGAAGAAAACTTTGGGCGTCCTAAACATCTATACCAGCAATTCAAACAGTAGTAGAGCTCATGGTCCTCACCTCAGACACCACCTCATGGGACATGAGTCTCTGAATGGCAGCTAAACATAGCTGGGTGATCTTTGGCTCTTTGGTGCCACAACCCATCAGAAAGGGTTGAACAACTTCTGAGCTGTTCTCCTTCAGTGCTGCAAGAAAAAAAAAGACAACAATTATTTAATATATTTGCTTTGTTAAAAAAAAGACTGAACAGTAATCACATCACATTTTACCATTAGATTGTACCAAAGACTCCCTGACCTGCTGGGGCAGTTGTTGATACAGATAAACTAGTTAACAGTGACCTTATCATAGCTTTTCAGGATACAGTTATAGATGGACAGCTGAATGTGGACGGTCATCAGTGGATCTCGGAAGATGTCATCTATGTGTCGACTCAGGAAACGATACATAAAGCTTGACTTGCAAATAAATACATTTGAAAATGTGTTCTGGTGAATTCAGAGAAATCGGAAGATTTTAACAAACAAAACGGATACACGAGCAACCACGTGCCATGCAGTAAGCAGATTGAGCAGACATTTTTCTCATTAAATCACATACAGGTGATGAAAAGGTTCAGAGAAGCAAAGTTAAAATCTGACTCCAAGGTCATTCTTGCACAACTTGACACTGACTGACTGCACAGAATAAACAATGTCTCATTGCGCAGTAGAGGATGACATTTTTTTGGGAGTACTGCGGGTCACGTGATTCCGGCCGGATTCCGGCCGGATTCCGGCCGGATTCCAGCGGAACCGGAGTCAACCTCATTATAACTCACGTGACTGGGACGTGACCAGACTGAAAGCTAACAGGAGCAGACAGGAGTGGGAACCGACCAATAACCAAAAATGAAACAAAAAAACAAAAAAACAAAAAAACGGCGCAGCTATTTTGTAGTTTTCTTTCAGTAAGCCTTCACTTTAACACAAGTCAAAAGAACTACATTTCCCAGAACTCAAAACGCCATCGCTTTTTTCCAAGAGGGTAGGAGGAACAGTTATGTCTCCAAAGAAACCGAATGGCTGAAATAGTTTGCAACACATGGCAAGAAGTAACTGTCTGTCTATTAAACTCACAGAACGGGCAGGAAAGTGTCAAATAACCCTGAACTTCATGAGAGTTGTGTTGGTGCTGTGCTGCTTTAAACGTTTAGTCTCAGCTGTGAGGAGTCGGACTTTGTTTATCGTCAGTAAATAAACTCAAACAGCGCATTTTTCTCCACCTTGTCCCTTTTAATTTAAAAATTATGCTCTGCTTTGTTATGTGGGTTTTTAGGTTAAAATCTTCATTATCTGTCTCTGTTTGTAATGTAAAAAAAACAACCGAACTCTACCTGGTTAAAGTGCACGCATTCTTCGGTAAAAATATTCCTATTTTTATATTGTGACGTCCTGCTGGATACTGGAATGGAGGAACACGTGAATAACCATCACTTTACCATCACTTTATTTTGTAAATAGTTACTGTCGGCTATAACCATGTCAGTACAACAACAAACTCGTTAGTGAAAGCATTCTCCGGTAAATAATATCCCAATTTTTATATGAAAGACTGGTTACTATATATTAATAACTGTTTTAGTTTTAGATTTAAGATATGATGTGTATGTTGTTGTGTTAAATTTTAGGCCAAGAGTTGATTTTTCTCAGTTCAATTTTTCACACCAGGGGCGAAACACTGAAGCATGGCACAAGAAGTAGCACTAAGCTTTTTGTTTGTCTTTAATTTAATTTTTCTACCTAACACAGGAAGCTGTTAGCTCTGGAAGCAAACTGTTAAACAGCTTGAAGACCCTTGTCACACACTTCAAAAGAGCAGGTAAGATACATAAAATCTTGTAATCTCTGCCTGGTGAGGCTGATTAAATAATTATAAAATATGATAAGTGAAATAAAGAAAAATTGAGCTACTGTAATTTATAATTGCAAAGGTCACAATTTTTGACTTAGTTTCAATTGTAAATCTCTTATTTTTGATAAAATATTTTTTTCCAAAAGAAAGGCCAACAAATTGTAACTTGTAGTCACTGTAACACTATTTTGACTCGTGCACGTCTTCTTTCACTTTTAGGTTCCACAATGCTCTGGACTGGTCCAGCTGTGGAGAGATGAGGTGGAACACCAGACCTGCAATGGTCCAGACTGTAAATGATGCTCTGAAGTCTGGGAAGATGCACGACATCATGCTTCACCCAAACGAGCTCGTTACCTCGACCACATACACTGAACTTCTTGAGGACGTCGTCCAATGTATAATAATGCCTTTAAACATTTTTATTTGTTGAGTTCTCTGCTTGGTCCATTATTTTTCTTTTTTTGTTTGTTAGTTTGTTTAAACAATTTAAAACATGACAGTAATGTCACTGTTTAAAGGAAACAATTGCTCAATAAATTAGTAAAATGCAACTTGTTATGTTTGGGTTCTTTCATCTAAGGTAGACATGGTGTGACCCGTGGACTGGTTTTGATTTTTAGTTTTTACTGTAACTGACCTTCAAAAGAGCCAGAAACAGACTCAGCAGCTGATCCTCCGTGGAAACATTATATGGACTACAGGCCAGGGATTATTTGTTTTATGACATTTAGTGAAGGTTTTTGTTTGGATTAAAACAATAAATGTCTCTATTTCACCACCGATGAACTGTTCCTGTTGCCATATCTTTTGAAATAAAACTGCACAACACAAAGTAATTTAAACAGGAATGAGTAGAAGATCAAATCAAATTCAATGTATTTCCTAAAAAATAAATGAAAAACAGGAGCAGGACAGGAGTGGGAGTCATGTTACCAGGAGTGGGACAGGACAGGATTTTTTCTGTGGGACCAGGACAGGACAGGAGTGAAAATCCACTCCTGTGTCCTGTGTCTATTGTGCAGCCACAATGCTGTTATCTTGCAATGTTCTCATCGTTACATCATCTGCTGAACAAACCTGGTCATTGAGTATACCCAAGCTCAAACTGAATCTAGACATCATTATTTGGCTTGCAGTATGTAATATAACCATAATCAGGTTAAATTGTAGCAACATGTACATTGGTTCATTATTATTCGTGTGAGCAAAGCCGATCGCACCATGTCACTCACCTGCCAGTATGCCTGTATTCCTGGCTGCTATGGTCTTAATCTTCACAATGCCAGACTCTGCAGCCTAGAAGGAAGGAGTGAAAATTTTATTTACATGCCTAAAATTGCTTGCTTTTGCATTTTTTTTAATATTACCTACATGTTTATTTATGCATCACTCCATACAAATCAAGCAGTGGGAAATTAACATGATTAACAGCTGCTACTTTTGTCTCACACTTTGTACCCCTTATTTATGTATTTTTTCATATTTTTCAAAATTTATATTCATTATTTTATTTTAAAAGACTTCCTGCCATCGACACTGATTTTCCTTTGACAAAGCTGGGTGCTCGTGGCTCCCAGTACCACACCCCTCAGAGAGCAGGCATTTGCAACACAGGGAGAATGCCTGCAGGTAATCAGATGTGCTACGATTCTAGGTCATGGTTTCACAATTCACTACCATAACTCCATCTACTCTGTCATCATGTGACCAGAAGTCTAACCTGAATGACCAATGAGATACTGTCATTGACCCATCCTCCAAGATACACATGCATTAATGAGGCTTCCAGTTTACAGTAAGCAAAGGTAAAAAAAAGCACTAAATTCTTCAAGTTCTTCAGATCTGTTACTGTAGTATGTGATGAAGTTTTTTTGAGGCTCTTCAATTCTGACGGTGAAGAAGAGGACTTTCATAGTTTCAGTGCACAGGAGGACGAAGAACAGAGCGATGAGTGACTCTGGTCGACCATTGGTGCTTTTTTATTTATTTGTTTGCCATGTTAAAGCTGTCCCCTCTCCCCTTGGGCAAGACGTGAGCTCAGCTGAACGGAAGTGGTCCAAGTAGTCAAATCTGTACATATTTTAATAAAAGTTTTAAATCTGTGTGACATCTTTCTGTGTATGGTACATGTGTGTTTAAATACTGAGATCTAATTTTAAGCTCACATCCGAACATTAAACGGAGCGGAGACAACGAAACGGAGGGGCTGTTCCAACTCACCCCCCAGCTCAGCTAAGTCAAGAATTTATTTTAAAGCAGTCAAAGCAGTCAGTCAAGACTGGAACATATTTAAAGCAAAGTTTTAAAAAATCTATCTGTCTACGATAAATGCGTTTAAATATCAGTATCTCATTTAAGCTCCTCTCAGGCATGCAAATGAGTGGTGGGGGGGGACTGTTCCCCCTTACTCCGTCCCCTGCTCATTAGAGCTGAAAAGAAATCCCGTCATATTTATTTAAGATAAGATCATTTAGAAAGTAAAGGTAGATTTAAAAACAGTATTTGATACCAATACTGTTTATCAATAAAAATCAGTGGTACTATCAGTGATGTAATGAATATTTACCACATTTTATCTGTACTATTTCACTTCCGGTCACATGATCTCATTAAGACTTCTGGGTAATATTTCTTCTGGGTAAAAAATCTGGATAATCTAAAGAAGTTGTCAGGTCCTCTGGACGTTCAAAAAACACAAACAAAACAAATTGTAGAAACGTTTTGTCTCTCATCCAAAAGACTTCTTCAGTCCGAGGTGCTGTATTCAGCTCAATATTATAATAGCACCTCTCATAGTGAATCAGCCAGTTTGTTGTTGACATTCAAACCAGCTGTTCACATGATCAAGAAGGACCAACAGCCTAACAATCATTAGCACTCTGATGGCTGCTTGTTATTCACAGGGGGCTGAGTGATACTAGCAATAACAGCATTGTAAGAGGGAAACAGTTGAACATGGAGGCCTTTACCCCTGTTCAATGATGGATGGTTTCGTTTCACAAAGATGGCCTCCTTTACTCCACTCTCAAACCATCGTTCAAGTATGTGGAAGGATCAAAGATGTGAACATCATCATCCCTGAAAGAGTGACCGCTGGCCTGGAGATGAGTGTAGACCGCAGAGTCCTGGCCTGATGATGTTGATCTTCTGTGCTGGGCCATCCTTTTGGCCAGTGTCTGTTTAGTTTCCCCGATGTAAGACTGACCACCCTCCTGACACTGAACAACATACACAATATTACTCCGTTTGTGCCAGAGGACTGGATCTTCGGGATGAACCAGTCTTTGCCGTAATGTTTTTTAGGGTTTCAAAGCCACTGGGTCGTTGTGTTTAGAAAATAAACGTCTCAGTTTCTCTGATACTCCCTCAACATATGGAATGACCACTGGTCTGGGTTCCTCCTTTTCACCTGATGGCTGACTGGAGTCCTGTTTGGGTTTCTTTTCTGCTTTCAGGAAACATTTTGTTTCTTTTAAATGAATGAATGAATAAATGAATTTAAAAAAATTAAATGGATTTAATAGAAGAAAAATCTGACACCACCAAGGTAGGACGCAGTAAACCGTGCCAGTCGCTGGAGCCTGAAGCTAACGTTGACTCCGATGCTAATGACAGTCTGTTGTAATGTATGGAGGCATTTTTGGAAGGAATGTGCTCGGACATTCTGAGTAAGATGGACGAAATGATATCTAAAGCAGTGAAGAGAGAGGTTATGACTGCCCACACCTCGCTAGAAGTTAATGTCGCAGAGCATGGCCAGGCTATTGTGGCACTTGAACGCACAGCTAATGACCAAAGCGACAAGCTAACTAGCTTGGAAGCTAAAGTCTCCTCGCTCATGGGCATGGTGGATTATCTGTCAAAGAAATGTGAGGACCTGGAAGGGCGTTCTAGACTGAATAATGTGCGAGTGATTGGTATCCCCGAGGGATATGAAGGCACCCAAACGACGGAGTTCATGGCTGCATTGCTGCAGAAGCTACTGGGCCTGGACCACAAGCCAGTGCTGGATCGAGCTCATCTGACTCTGAGGGCTAAGAGCCCCCCCCCCCCCCAAACTTTCTGCAGAGTCAATCACTACAGACCTCCAAACTTCATGTGGCCTTCAGTATAGCTCAAGAACAGTGCGCAGAGAGTTTCATGGAATTGGTTTCCATGGTCGAGCAGCTGCATCCAAGCCATACATCACCAAGTGCAATGCAAAGCGTTGGATGCAGTGGTGTAAAGCAAAGGGCTGTATACCGAACTGAGGTTCTTTTATAGCACCGACCAACGTATGGATTGAAATGTCACTTTTTTTTCGGTGTCAAGTTTCGGTATTGGCTGTAACGCTTCACGTGGTTTCAGCCACCGGCAGGTAAAACGCCAGACATATAGCAAACAGACTACGTGTTTACAACCAGAGCTGTATAGAGCAGCCGTACGGCTTGTATGTCTATGGTGCTGGTTACGCCCACAGACAGGGTTCACGTGTGCAGTGCATGTGTTGTCGAACGGCTTCAATTTATGAGCAGAAAGTTGCTCTGTGTTTTTCTGCGAGGAGAGAGAAGGACAGCAGCCTCCCCCCCTCCTCCTCTCTCAGCATTAAAGTCTGCCTGTGAGTGTTAAACGGCCAGAGTCAACATTCCACGACTGGACTCCTCTTCAACAAAGAACTCCGAGGACGGAGCTGTGTCTGGGATTTCAGCTGGTAAGTTTACGTTTGTTAACGTTACTGCAGCTTAATACGTACATCGCAGTGAGTTTAACTAGAATCCATGTAATGCTAACTTTAAGATATTAGTGTGTAGCTTTATTTTATCTACGTAGCTAGCTAAACTCAGAAGCTAACTAAAGATTGACAGTAACAGATGAAGCTTAGCTTGTAAAAATGTGCTCATCCATTAGATCAGCTGGTTAAACAGTTCACCTAATGTTTACTGTTTGTTAATGTTCTCCTCACAGGAGCCTCTGACCCTGATGTGAGGAGGACGGACAGACAAAAGAAAAGTGAGGTGGGGTCCACTGGAGTCAGGACAGTCACAAACTTTGTTGTTAAAAGTTTGCTGCCTTTTTCTACACTGGAGGCTCCATGGTGGAGGTAAGTTAAGCTGTAAAGGATACTGTTGACCAGTTAAGTTTTATCTCTCAGCCTAGATAATGTTTTTTGAGCAATAATAACACAACCATGTTATTGTTGATGTTTTGTTATCATGTCAATTAGGGAGATGATCAGAGCCCTAAACCCCAAAGAACCACAGAGAAGATTCAGGCAGAGACACAGAGGTGCAGTAGTCTGCCATCAACCCTAACCTCATTGAATCCAGTGACCTGCTGGTAGGATGTGAGGGACAATATGTCCGTGCTGTCAAACTGGCAACCAGGTCTCTGTGTGTGCAACAATCATCATCTACAGCCTCAGAGTGAACATTTTCTACTGCTGGAGACACAATCAGCCAGGAGCGGCTTGTTTGTGTCCAGAGAAAGAAGACATGTTGTTTCTGAAAAAAAAAATTGTTAAGTGAAAAGGTCCTCAGTGTGTAGCAGTGAGCATTAAACACTGATGTGTCACTGGTTTGAAACTGGTCTTTTGAACTGGAAATTATTTGTTTATTTTTATGTAAGAAAACTGCTTGGAATAAAAATACCAAAGTTAAAAAATAAAATTCATAATATGTACTGTAATGTGTAACGTAATTTTATTCTTGTTGGAATTAATATTAATTACAAAATTGGTACCGAAAAAATAACCGTCCAGGAACTGACACCGAAGTTAAGGTACCGACACCGGTACCAATACTGATTTTTTTAGAAAGGTACCCAGCCCTACCCATGCCACAGTGCTTGACTGGCCAGCCAACTCGCCAGACCTAAACCCCATTGAGAATCTATGGGGTATTCTCAAGAGGAAAATGGGGGGCACCAGTACCAACAATAAAGAAGAGCTGACAGCAAGCATCAAGTAAATCTGGGCTTCCATAACTCCCAGGCAATGCCACAGGCTGATTGCCTCAATGCCACGTCGCATCGAAGCAGTGATTAAGGCAAAGGGATTCCCCACCAAGTATTGAAGATTGACATATCATTTTGAAAGTACCATATTTTGATTGATTTGTTGTGATTCTAATTTCTTTCTTTTTTTTCCTGCAAAAACTGAGTAGAGTGGGATGATGTCTTCAAAGTACTCTAATTTTTTAAAATCCTGTTATATCAGTCATATAGCAGTTATATCTCAGTAATACATCATACGATCTGGACCAGATTTTTGGTGCATCATTAGTGAGCACTTATGCACACATTGGTATTGTTGGTTAACA